GCCGTCTCCAGCCATTATTAGTCTCAAAGTGGGTTCCTCGTCATCGAATTTACCTTAACATATGTAATGTAGGATTAATTTAATTAGTAATAACCAATTTCATTATTGACTTTTGATTTTAAAAAGAAAAGGAAACACTGAACTAGTAATTACCACTGTGTTAAGTAGTAAGAAACTTGAAGTTGTCTGTTAATTAGTTCCAAGCTCCCAACTATCATTGTCTGCCTCTGATTGTCCGTCTGTCAACCACTTACCTAGGTCAACCACAGTCACAGATTGAGTGGCAGACCATTCAGTGTGATACTTTCTGCTGTCTAGTCATTAATCCAGGGTGATGTATGACTACCCCCCCTCTCTTTCTCTAAGTAATATTAAACCTAGTGTATATATATATATATATATATATTGTCCCTCAAATGTCCGTTATTCAGTCGAAAAGTCAAGGTTGCACAAGTTACTTTCTGATAATTACAAGATGGTCACGAAAGTATAAAATAAATTATAATATGCTCAGTAAGTAAACTTAATTTGGACTTGTAGACTGAGAAGGTATCACAGGATGATGTGGGACGTTATCAAGATATTAATAAACAAAAAACTTACTTTGTACACACACAAACTTAATGATGACAGCTCCAATGCCTGTACATGTCCTCAATAAACAAAAAACTTACTTTGTACACACACAAACTTAATGATGACAGCTCCAATGCCTGTACATGTCCTCAATAAACAAAAAACTTACTTTGTACACACACAAACTTAATGATGACAGCTCCAATGCCTGTACATGTCCTCATGTCGTAATCTTCGTAGTTGTAGCTACATTTGTTCTTTCCCGAGCATCTAGAAATAAGAAGGTGGCTCATTAGTTTCTTCTTTCTGGTATTTATTTACTGTTCAAGCCCACTTGTCATCATGAAGAGACATTCCTATTACATCCAATGTTTCCTGGCTATAATGACAAACGGTTACTTAAACTAACAAACCAGCTCCTAAAACTCGATATATGTGCCTGGGGTACTTGTACTGGTGACCTACGTAACAAATGTTTCTGAAAATATATCTTTTTTTTCTTCTTTACAGATTCCAAGATGAGTTTTCTAAGAAATAACAAAGGGAGGGAATTAATTATATCAGCCTTATAAAAAATAAACAAAAAACGTAAATAAATATATTACACATGAAGATGTAATAAGAATCCTGCATGTCAATTTATACATCAAAATATACGAACTGAATAAAAATCCTGTACGTCAATTTATACATCAAAATATACGAACTGAATAAAAATCCTGCATGTCAATTTATACATCAAAATATACGAACTGAATAAAAATCCTGTACGTCAATTTATACATCCAAATATAAGAACGGAATAAAAATCCTGTACGTCAATTTATACATCAAAATATACGAACTGAATAACAATCCTGTACGTCAATTTATACATCAAGATATACGAACTGAATAAAAATCCCGCATGTCACTTTATACATCAAAATATACGAACTGAATAAAAATCCTGTACGTCAATTTATACATCAAAATATACGAACTGAATAAAAATCCTGCATGTCAATTTATACATCAAAATATACAAACTGAATAAAAATTCTGTACGCCAATTTATACATCAAGATATACGAACTGAATAAAAATCCTGCATGACAATTTATACATCAAAATATACAAACTGAATAAAAATCCTGTACGTCAATTTATACATCAAAATATACAAACTGAATAAAAATCCTGCATGTCAATTTATACATCAAAATATACGAACTGAATAAAAATCCTGTACGTCAATTTATACATCAAAATATACGAACTGAATAAAAATCCTGCATGTAAATTTATACATCAGAATATGTGAATTAAACAAGAATCCAGACCAAGAGCAGAGCTGAAGCTAAGCTCACCAGAGTACTCCAGAGTCTGGAGCTGTAGCCAAGGTTCTTGAACTGCTCCATTCTTTCTTACCCTCCCTGTAAACTTTATGATATATTTTTATAACATGAATTAACAAAACAAATAACTATAAAGGTATACAAACCAATCACAAAACTCCTCAGAATTCTTTAATTTACTTTTCCTATTCATATGATATACAAGGAGGACATACAGTATACATCTGACCTATATAATAGCCAGTGTGTGTCACGTCACGCTTGATTTATCAAAATTGGAGTTGTCATAAAAGTCAACATGCATTTATCCAGTTAGAATAGTTCGATTACTATTTTAGTTTACTATTACGATTTTAGTTACAGGAGATGGAGCAAGGGGTATATTAGCTCCGGGGTTAGCCTAGAATTGGAGTTGAACCGTTGGAGTCACTCCGGGGCCAGAGCCAGTAAACCCAGAGCATTGTCATCCCTGGTTCAAGGCGATAAAATATAACTTATATACAGTATAACTGTAATCAATCATACAAAACCGTTATTCGAGCAGTGAGGAAATCTAAAACACTTATATTTTCAGTTTGATTAATGAAATAGTGTTCTACATTTGATCATGATCTGGATGTGTTTTTTTTATTTCATACAAAACCGTTATTCGAGCAGTGAGGAAATCTAAAACACTTATATTTTCAGTTTGATTAATGAAATAGTGTTCTACATTTGATCATGATCTGGATGTGTTTTTTTTTATTAATATTACCTCGTTATACATTAATTCTCAACAGTTGTATATCCACGTTGTTAACTTCTAATTGTTATAGAGACCAGGTTAACTATAGATGTTTATTTTCTTCCAAATTCCACTTAGTTTGTAAAAATCAGAGGCATGTAAAATAGGATTTCAGAGGATCTTTTCTCTCTCATCGTCCAGCCATTGATGAGTACTGGTATTGAACGAAAAGTCTCTTGGACAGCGACTTATGGGAGACTCGTTTGTTTTTAAGCGCAAATCTACACAATGTGCTACCTGTTTTATGCCCACCGCGAGTATCTAAACCCTAGTTTAAAAGCCATCAGATTTACCGGTGGACCACTGTTTTTCCTTTGGGTTTTGTGTACATCTACACAATGGGCTATTCGTGTTCTGTCTACCGCGGGAATCGAACCATGGATTCTAGCATTTTAAGTCATAAACTTAACGCTGGCTTGGGGGGAGATAGACCTCTGATTCTGAATCCACAATGGAGAAATTAAGAGGTATGTACGGAAGGAACAGTTTACGTGATTTTTTATGACATATTTTAGGCCCATTGATACCTGCTATATTGGTTAACTTATATCACATTGTTTCTACTTTAATATTTCTGTCTATTATTAAGTATGTATTCACGAAGTTTAGCGCATCTATCACAAGACGTACTTCTCGGCTTAGTTATTGTAGGCCTTGCTTGTACTTCAGACAATTGGCCACTCACGTTACTTTAGGCGTTCTTTGGGTAGATTCAACCATTACTGTATGCGGTGAAATAATTTTGCAGCGGTACTCTATAATCCTGGAAAATGGTTCTACACTCTAAGGTTTCCACTCATGAATTGTAAGCTGCACGAGAACTGATCGGTACTGTTGTGCCATCTGCAGTCAATCCAGAGAAGGAGCTTTATCTTCCTTTGGATTGACTGCGCAGATATATCTCGATGATTTCTTTTTGAATTACGTCCAGTTGTCTCGTCAGTTCATCCGGTTCCTCATCTGTTTTCTCCATTATTGACTGCCAGAGACACAAAAGGTAGAAGTCCACTAGTCGACATAAGGCACAATCCAGCTATCTTTTTCATTGCTTCTGTGCGAAATTTTGATCTTGTTTGTTTGTAATTAAGCACAAAGCTACACAATGGGCTATCTACGGGTATCGAAACCCGGATTCTAGCATTGTAAGTCCGCAGACATACCACTGTGTCACAGGGAGGGGGTAAATTTTGATCTCCTGTGATCCTTGGACTTTTCAGTTGCTTTCTGTCAGTTTATAAATCCATCTTCACAAACCTTAACTGACCCTTTCATTGATCACATTTTTGGATTGTTTACAGACACGGTAGTGTTTTTCTCCCTAGCACACAGTTAGTTTACTATTGGATTCGTTGGATTTTACGTTTTTACTGTATTTGATGCGTTCTTACAGTTACAATAATTTTTTTTCCGTATTCTGCTACTAAGACGAAACTTGACTCAATCAACCAAACAACAAGATAAACAAGTTGTCACACTGATTACTCGCTTCTGGTTTCTGTGTGTTTAGGCTTGTGACCTGTAGGTGTGTTAGGTGCTCGTCGGACATCTTCCTTCTCATGCTCTTCCTTTGTACTTTTTTCGCCAGTAATATCCTCTTACTTTGATGTACCTGTACACTTTCACTACGCTTCACTTATGTAAGACTGTACATACAGTCCCACTCTGTGCACGTACACATACATACTCCTATTTTAGCATAAATACCCTTTTAAAATAGAGCTATGTCTGCACCAAAGAATTAGTTTGCTTAGCACTATGCAGCTTATTTAATTTACAATTAATAATGTTCAAGGGGAACAGGTACTTAGGACTAGATTTATCTTGTATAACGTAGCTCTCCATGTTGCTACAGAGGTACTTAGGACTATATTTATCTTGTATGACATAGCTCTCCATGTTGCTAGAGAGGCACTTAGGACTATATTTATCTTGTATGACATAGCTCTCCAGGTTGCCAGAGAGGTACTTAGGACTAGATTTATCTTGTATGATGTATCTCTCCATGTTGCTAGAGCGGTACTTAGGACTAGATTTATCTTGTATTATGTAGCTCTCCATCTTGCTGGAGAGGTACTTAGGACTATATTTATCTTGTATTATGTAGCTCTCCAGGTTGCTCATCTGTTCATTTTTATCCATGTTTTTCTTGCAGTATTGAAGCGAGTTATTTAGGAGTTTGTCCGAGAGTAATGTGTGTTTAAGTAGTTTTGGAGAGATGTTAAGTTTGTTGATCATGGAACTCTATATGTAATTTTTTCATGTGTGTTTGTGGTAAAGTTAGCCAAGCTGTTAAGGCTTATTCTGTGATTGATCTTATGTATGTTTTATATATTTTCAGTGAGTTCTCGGGTGAGGCTCCTCGGATATTATCTGTCAGACTCCTAAGGCAACAGCTCTTTCCCAGGTTCTAGTTTTAATTCTATTTACGTGTTGTTACCACGTTAATTTAAAATCGAAGATCATTCTTAAGAATGTTGCTAGTTGGAGGAGAGTCAGCTGTTGTGGTTTTATTCTGCTTGCTATGACTGACTTGGTGATCAGAATTACGTGAGGTTTATGTGCATTAATTTTGATTCTCCATATATTACAGACTTTTTCCTTTTCAACTGTTCAATTATCCGTGGTTGCATTTCCTCAAGTTGTATGACCACAAACTGTTCCAGCATGTCAACGTACACGCTCCCAGTAACAGTGCTATCAGCGAGAAAGAAAGGACCAATAATCCTGTCACACGTGAGATCGCATCACACACCATGACGATTCACTTTACACGAGGTATGAATCGTGGCGTCATCACCAAACAGTACATGTGCTCGAAATGTGTTGTCTTCATCTACGTGGTCAACGAGGATCACCACAAATGTTTTGTTTTGTGTTCTGTCATCTGGTTACAGTGCCTGTACCAATCGAAGTTTGAAGGCATGTTAAGTTATGATCACTGATAGAGGGCCTTCCAGCTCCCGATCACTGTAACTCACTGCCTGTCTCCAAGAGCTATTTATTCTGCTCCCAGATTGTTGGTTTCGATGGTTCTTTTCTGTACTGGATTACATGCAACACAGCCACTGACAAGCCAAACGACGCATTAAGCCTTTTCTTTCACGGTTGCCATTTTACGGTTAACACTACTTATTGGAGTGGGAAAACGAACATGACAGTGAAAACTGTTTGAGTTAGGCAACAAGATGTTCAAAACTGCATGGTTGTATTTCCTTAATTAGCTAATTATTAAATTTTAAAATAGGAAAAACAATTTTGGACCACCCTGTATTTACGCTCTATTAATGATTTTACAGGCAACTTACTGCAGTCATAATAATTACATACGCTATTAGTATAACTTTATAAATACATATAAAATATTATAAATGAATCTGTCTACAGATAAATAAAACTAATTACAAATATATTCATTTTAATTGTTTTTTAATGCCACTTCACATTGGCACGCTTATTGTGTTTTCAAATATGCAGGTTGTCGAAAATAACCCGCCATTTTCTTATAGCAATGAATATATAAAAATAAATAAATATAAATTAAAAGGGCCTTCCTTAACGACTGAATGTCCAGTTAGCAATGGCCTTCCTTAACGACTGAATGTCCAGTTAGCAATGGCCTTCCTTAGCGACTGAATGTCCAGTTAGCAATGGCCTTCCTTAACGACTGAATGTCCAGTTAGCAATGGCCTTCCTTAACGACTCAATGTCCAGTCACTATCGAAACAAGAATATCACACAGAGAAAGTCGTTAGTAAATTAGAAAAAAAAAATTCTAACCAGATCAAATGGAAATTATTGATCGCCTTGTAACTGTAACAAAGAAGAAGCACTAGAAATGAAGTTTTTAGGTTATCTTCTTTGGGTAAATTAAGTGGCACATGGAACGTTAGTTTTACTATTATAGTACAGGCAGTTTTGTGGTTTGAGGCCCAAATTAACAGTTAATTCTTTATTTTCTACTGTTTCTGGAAGATAGCAGATATAATAGACAATGATTAAAAGTGTTTTTATGTAGGAAAATCAGAGAACACTGATTTGTATAATTTCTAAGTTGAAAGATAAGTTATGTTACATTAACAGTTTCAAAATCCACGTGGAAATATCTTCTTTGGAATAGTTTATAAACTAGTTTTTCTGAGCCTACTAACCGAAATATTACATGATTAGTTTGCACTGAATCACTTATTAATTTATGTAGTGACACGTCTTTAGTACTGTTGCGTCAGCGAGGTCACGTGACTAGTATCACACCACGTTTCCAGAACTATCTTGTTCCTTTGTGAATGCCCTAGCATTTACTACATATATGTTTGTCTGGTATATAAATAAGATGCTCACAACGTGACAACAATGTGTGTAGGTAGTGAGTAATTGAACTGCAGTCAGGAAGTATCGTTGAAGTTAACGTTCGTTGTTAAAACGTTGGTAAAAGAGCGACTGTTCTATATAAGTGTATCGGTAAAGTTATATACAGAAAGAATAAACCAGTTTTATTAAGTAAGGACTTGTGTCGCTAAAGTTTCGTCGGAACGAAGTTACGGAAAGTTAATTAACAAACGGAGACGTAACAAATTGGTGTCAGAAGTGGGATACAAAAAAAATGGAAACAAGAAGCGGCAAATCAAACTACAGCATAGCAGACTTGATGGCAGCAATACAAGAACAGCAAAAGAAACAAGAACAACGAAAGAATAAACAAGAAAAGAAACAAGAAGAACGAGAAGAGAAATTACTACAGTTGTTGGAGGAAAAAGAAAAGAAACAAAAAGAGAGACAACAGCAGTTGCAAGAAAACCTGCAACAGTGGCAGCTCGAACAACAAAATAAACAAGAGAGATTACAGCAGTTGTTGGAGGAAAAGGAAAATAAACAAGAAGAATGAGAAAAGAAACAAGAAGAGAGATTACAGCAGTTGTTGGAGGAAAAGGAAAATAAACAAGAAGA